TACAGCCACCCACCAGGACTGGATCTGAGCCTCAGGGCTCTCCCCAATGTTTTACACTGTTTTTTCAGCCTCTTTTTTTTTGCCAGGCTGCATCCATACAATCCATAAACCTCCTAAGAGGCTCTCCTCATAAAGGTCATGTCCTCATAAACCCCATTCACCTCACAATGGGGCAGGCCTCAGAAGGTCTCTGTCCTCATAAAGCCCATAAACCACCTGATGGTTCAGGCCTCATAACAGCACTGGCCTCACAAAGCCAATACCCCTCATCATGGGGCTCTCATCATAAAGCCGATGACCTCAGTAATGCCAGAAACCTCATAAAGGTTCCAGCATCATAAAGCTCCTTCACCTCATAATGGTGCAGGCCCCATAAAGGCACTGACTCATAATGCCCAACAACCTCATAATGGGGCTTTCATCATAAAAACTCTATCTTCATAAAGGCCATACATGTCATAATGGTGCTCTCCTCAGAAAGCCCATAAACCCCATAAGAGACTCTCCTCATAAAGGCCATGTCCTCATAAACCCCATCCACCTCACAATGGGGCCTCAGAAGGTCTCTGTGCTCATAGAACCCATCCACCCCAGAATGGTGCAGCCTCATAAAGGCACTGTCCTCATAAGCCTCACACCCCTCAGAATGGTGCAGGCTTCACACCTTCTTCATCACTGCGGAGTTCCCTGTACCCACTGCCCCATCCACGGCACCCCAAGAAACACTAAACCAAAGATCACCATCCTTGATCGTGCAGACAAGACTGATTGTAAAACTGCAAAATATAAAGCCCCTCTGGGAATGGCTTGGGGGTGCTCTGATGGAAAGGTTTATTCACATTTGTCACTAGAGCAGCATGGTGGACTTGGGGGTGGACCTGGAATTCCCTTCCTTTGCCCCAGATGTGTCTTTCCTTTCACTCAAATGTCTAAAGAACGTCCCCATCGCAGGGTTATTCCCTCTTCCAAAGCAACAAAAAGACCATAATGGGCAATTCCTGCATTTGGAGAATTAAACACTCCAGTCCAGCAAACTGCTAAGATGACATTGCAAACCAGATTGCCTTTCGCTCTGTTGCTGTTCAAAGAACAAGGTGTGTGTGGAATGTTCAGTCGATCAGAACTGAACGCTGGGTCACAATTGACCCAAATCTCGCCGTGCGCTTTGAGCCGCTGCAACTACAACTCCCGGCGTGCCCCGCGCGGCAAAGAGGGCGGGGCGGAGAAAAGGCAGAGGTGGGCGCTGATTGGCTGCCGTGGGGGGTGGGGTCTCTGTGCAGGCGGTGCGCGCGCACAACCCCGCGGTGGCTGCCGGGAAAGCGATGGCGGTGACAGCGGAATCTGCTCTGGCCTGTGAGCCCTGGCGGGGGCTGCGGCGGGGCTGGGGATGCGCTCGGGGGCTGCGGGGAGCGCGGCTGTGGGCGGGAAGGCTGGAGGGCTCGGCAGAGTGGAGAGGAGGGGCTTGGGGGTTCCCGAGGAGGTTTTGAGGTCCGTGAGGGGCTGTCGTGGGGTCGTGGAGGGGATTTGGTGTCCTGAGGGCGCTCAGAGGGGAGGGTGAAGGTCCCTGAAGGGGTTCCGGGGGTCCCTGAAAGGGCTGGGGCCTTGGAAGCCTCTTGGGGGGGGGGGCTGTTTAAACACCATGGCTGCACTGCGCAGGCGCCGGCGGAGTTTCCACGAGGGAACTTCACCTCCCAGAAAGCTTCGCGTGGCGCCGCCATTGCCACTCGTGCCACAGCGCCCCCTGCCGGCTGGGCGGACCGACCGCAGGGAAAGCGGGTCCTGATGCCCCCCCGAACCCCAGAGACCCTCAAAACTCAGCACACAGAGACCCCCCAGGGAGGGGGGCTCAGGGGCGCCTAAAGCCTATAAGTGGGATTCAGGGGGTCCCCCAGCCCTCAGAGGAGGGGTCCTGGTGGTACCACCCAAAGTCTTGGTGGGGAGATGAACCACATGTGGGTAAAGGGATCCCAGTGCCCCCAGTATAGCCCAGTGACCTCCCAGTTGCTCTCCGTATGGCCCAGTAACACCCCCCAGTGATCACTCAGTGTTTCCCAGTGACCTCCCACTGCCCCCCAGTACAGTCCAATGATCCTCCAATGAGCACCCAGTAACCTCCAGTAAGGCCCAGTAACCTCCCAGTGTCCCCCCGTGTGTCCTGGTAATCCCCTAGTAATCACCCAGTACCTCCCAGTGCCCTCCCAGCATCGCTCAATAACCCCCAGTCCCTCCCAGTGCCCCCTGGTTCCCCCCAGTGTGTCCCAGTATCCCCCAGTAATCACCCAGTGCCCCCAAAGTCCCCCAAGTGTCCCCAATGTGTCCCCAGATGCCCTTGACCTTTCTGTGAATGTGGGGGGATGGGGCCGTTTTGGGGGTCAGAGGGTCCAGGGGGCCTTCTGGGGGGAGATGGAGGATTGGGGACATCAGGAATGGGGTTTGGGGACAGTGGGGAGGGGTTTGGGGACAGAGGAATGGGGGGTTTCAACGGGGGAATTGGGGCCATGGGGAGGCCCTGGGGACACTGGAGATCCCAGGGGGGTCTCGGGGTGCCAAGTGGGAAATTGAGGACACCAGGAGGGTCTTGGGGACACCAGGGGGGGTCTCAGGACTCACCTGCTCGTGGTGCTGCCCCTCCTGTCCCCCCCAGGCCCCAATAAAGCCCCACAAATGTTTCCTAACCCCTATTTTTCCTTTAATCACCCCCCCTGATCCCTTTTACCCCCCAATGTTCCCAAGACTTTTTTTAATTCCCCCAAATGCACCCAGAGGCCCCCAAAATGCCCTACATCCCAATCAAACCCCCCAAAGAGGGATCACCCAGCACCCTTGGACAGGAACACACTGGGCTGTGCTGGGGGCACTGGGCTGTACTGGGAGGGCACTGAGGGGGCACTGGGCTGTACTGGGAGAGCCCTCATCCCCAAAGCCCCTCCCCTGGGCATCCGTGCCACAGTCTGGGAACCACAGCAGGGTTGGATCAAGGGGTGCACTTGATGATCTGGGAGGTCTTTTCCAAGCCGGCTGATTCTGGGATTCTCTGGGTGCCATTGCCAGGGCAGCACATGCTGGAGGCTCTGTCCACAGGGGATAGATGTGTCTGTGCAGACAGAGAGACAAGGTCAGTCTGCAAAGATGTGGGGTTAGAAAAGCAGGAGAAGTTTTGGGGTGGTTGTGGCAGGAGAAAGAAGCCCCCAGGCCAGTGCAAGCAGGCCCCCCTGGGCTTGCACATCATCTGCCCTCCCTGCAGGTTCCTGTCCTGGAGAGCAGGCCCTGAGGTGGCCCTGAGCAATGGCCCGGAGGTGAGCCCAGAGGTGTCCCTAAGGTGGCCCTGAGAAGAAGTGGAAGGCAGAGGTGGTGCTGAGGCAGGAGAGCCCCGTGCTGGGGAAGAGACTGAGCTGGGAGTGCCCAGCAGCGAGAAGGTGCTGTGTCCATGCCCTGTGTGCCAGGTGAGCTGGGGCTTTGCTGCAGAGCTGCGGGCGCTGATTGGAGCGGCTGCAGCTGCTGAGCTGGTGGCACCCAGGAACACAAAGTGTGCCCGGCCACGGAGCCTGCAGGGAGGAGCAGGGACAGGGTCAGGGCCACTGTCAGCCCGGGGCTGGCTGGGCAGACACAGCAGGTTTGGGGTCCCCCTGGGAGCTGCTGAGGGTGGAGGGCGGAGCGGGCGATGGCGGAGCTGGGGGACCCCCGGCAGGCTGGAGGGGGGAGCACGGAGAGGGAGGAGCCCTGGGACCCCCGGGAGCCTGTGATACCAAATTTGCCCCAAAGAAGAACAGAGAGACTGCTTAGAGACAAAGTTTCATGCTCAAAGCAGGAGGTATTTTATTAGCAACGCATTGGGGAGCTCTCCAGGTCGCCCTGGGCAAAGAGCTCCGTCGTTAACAATTAGTGCAACTCTTTTATACAATTTCTGAGTAGGGATTACATCATTATACATGTATATTCATTACATTGCAACATCTACTTGTAATATTCATATATAGGCAGAGTCTGGGCGGGGTCTTTAATTTGGGGAAGTTTGGAGGGGGGAGATCCGGAGCCTTCATCGGGGGAGGTGGTCGTCTGGTTGGTCTTCCTCGGTGTAAACTTTTGAACTCTTCTCAAATCTTTCCTAATTTGGGTAGTTTCCTCGTGTTGTTGGCAGGGTCTTGGTGACCTTGGCCCATCTTAAATCTGCTGATGCTACTATATCTTTGTTTTGTGTTATTTTATGGTTTTAGTGTCCTTCTCTGTCAACATGCTCTGTTCCCTCAGACAATTTATTACCTCCGTGGTTTCCTAATGCCAAGCTTTCCTGTAGTGCTTTACATTTTTGTGTTTTAACCTCTTGTTTCTCGAAGACTGCTTCCTTTTGAGTGGCTTCACCTGAAACGGGGGGAGCGGAGAAGGGGAAGCCTGGAGAGTGGGGACCCCTGGGATCCCTGGGACAACAAGGTGGAGAACCTGGAAAGGGGGAATGTCTGGGAAGGCGGCACCCCGAAGGTGTGAGTCAGAGGAGAAGGGACCCTTGGGACCCTCAACACTCCCAGCATCCCTAAGAGGGATCCTCAACATCCCAGACAGGGGAGACCCTCTGAACCCCAGAGGGAGAGACCAGAGAGGGGAACTTGTGGGAGAGATTTTTTGGTATAATCTTCATAATTTGGAGTATATTTCAGCTGACTGTCAACTTTTTGGAGTTTGGGGGGCGGGGGTCTTCTTACTATTTCTGAGTGGGTTTTGCCTGAACCTTGGTGGTTTGGGTTTTTCTGGGCAGAATCTTGGTGATTTGGAGGTCCCCCAGAACCCTGAAGTTGGGAGATGGGGGAGCCTTGGATTCCTGGGAGCTCCAGCAGCCTGGAGAGGGCAGGAACCCTGTAGAGGGGAGACCCCAAATACAAACGGGACTCCCAGCAGCCCGGACAGGGAGGACCTCCAGAATCCCAAAGTGGAGAGACCAGAGAGGAGGAGCTCCTGGCTGGGGTTTTTGGGGCTAAATCGTGCTGCTTTGGAGGTTTTTGCACCCCATGCCGAATGAGCTCAAGGCAAACGCCGATGTCGGCGCTGTGTCGACCGATGGCCCAGCAAACTGTGACGGCGTGGTGACCGATGACATGACAAACTCCTACACCGCAGCACCCGAGCTCACGACAGAATCTGACGCTGCAATGACTGAGGGCATCGCAGACGCTGAGAGCACACCCCTTCAGCGCCTGCCCGATGCTGCCAATCAGGAGATTCCTGGGGAGAGAGTTGTCTCTGCACAAGTAAGCAGCCTGTATGCATGCATTGTGTGGGCCCTCAAGCCAGGTCTGCTGGGCCCCTCAACCTTTGAGGCCAGCACAGTGTGGTGGGAAGGGGAGGACTTCTCAGGGGAAACTGGGCAAGTTGCTCCCTCTGGCAGCTCTCCAACTCCTCCATGCCCCCTCCAGGCCACACTGTGGCCAGACTTGATGAGCCGGAGTGTTCCTGAACCTCCTGTGTTTTAGGAGCCTTCAAGGCACTTCTGCAGGACTTGGTGAGCCAGAGCATTTCTGTGCCATCTCTCCTGCAGGAAGCCGCGGAGCCAGACAGAGACATGGAGCAAAGCCCCCCCAGGGTGCCCAAGCTGGTGTGCGTGAAGGAAGGGGAAGAGGAAGAAAACCCTGGGCCTGTTCCAGAACAGCAGCCTGGGGAAGTGGAGCAGTTCCAGCCCCTGCTGAAGGGTAATTGTCAGAGCAGGGCCACAGGGCTGGTGGCTGCAGCTGAGCTGCCTCCACCTCTCAGCCCTCTCGCAGCCGCAGCTGCCCGGGACGGTGCCGCGCCCTGTGCTGCTGCTTGGGCACAGCCCTGTGCGGGTCCGGGCTCCTGCCGGCCGGGCACCCCGTCACTGCTGCGTGCCTTTCAGGTCCTGGTCTACCTGGATGTGACTGAGTGTGGTGAAGGCATCCTGGAGCTGCTTTCAAGGCACCTGTGGAGCGAGTGCCCAGAGATGCATCACCAAGTGCTCAGAGGCCTCATTGTCCTGAGCAAGGATCCTGTGATGGTGAGGAGGGGGCAGCTGACTGAAGCCGTGCTGGAATCCTGGGGCTGAGGAGCGCAGTGGCTTGGGCTGGGCTGGGCTTTGGGAGCTGTGGCAGCTGCTCCCAGCTCTGCTGCCTCCCCGCTCAGCTGCACGAGGCCTTCAGGACAGGCCTTTGGCCTCCGGGCCCCGCGGCAGCACCGGGGGCTGCCCTGCCCGAGCAGGGTTGGCTCTGCAGCTGTTCCTGGCTTCACAGCACAGCCTTGTGTTCCTCCCAGGTCAGTAGAATGAGCATCCTGACTGAAAGCCTTGTGCTGCTGCTGGGGGATGCAGACTGAGAGGTGGTCAAGAATGCCATCACTTTACTCGGATTTCTGTTTCTGGATGAAGACTTCCAACTACCCAGCCCTACCGCCTTGCAGTTGGCCGAGGCGCTCCAGCCACTCTTTGATAATGTAAGGCTCTGTGCCCCACAGCCACGGGCAGTGGGTGCTGGCAGGAAACTTTGTGCCTTGTGGATTATCAGGCCTGTGCCCAGGTGGGCCTGGAGAAGCCAGGGCTAAGGTCTTTTCCTTTCCACCAGGATGACAGCAGTGTGCAGCTCCCCTCCATACTCCTCTTCAATGGGGTGATGATGATGGTAAAGAAAGAGGGAGAAAAGCCCCTGAAGCCACATGTACAGCAGAGCCTGCTTCCACTCTTCTTCCACTGCCATGATGAGAACCAGAGAGTGGCAGAGGTGAGCACTTGTGGGCCCTGTTGTTCCCGTGGGAAGGGGCTGGGCTGCCTCCTGCCCTGGCACCTCCTGGGCTCCAGCCTCCTCCTGGCCTTTGTCCAGGGACATGGGTCCTGTGCCCTGGGCTGCAGTGCCATCTCCCAGTCCCTGTTGCTCTGCAGGCCTCTTGGGAAACACTGCTTTGTGTGGCCGAGTTCCTGAAGAGGAGAGATCTCCAGAGGAGGCTGAAGAAGAAGGAGCTGTGGAGGTTCAGCGAGTGCCTGGTAGGGACGGCCATGAAGCCCCACCCCGAGGCTAGAGCAACCCACAGCCCCCCATGCCCCGAGTGTGGGGCTGGCACAACACCCAGCCAAGGCACAGAGCTCGAGCCAGCCATTCTCCCGTCACCTTACTGCTCTTTCCAGCTGAAAAAGGACCGGAGCCGAGTGGCCGAGTACGTGCACCAGGCCCTTCTGTACCTGGAGAGCCCACAGGAGCCCGTGCGAGAGGCGGCCCTCAGGTTCATAGGTGAGCCACAGGGTCCCTGCCCGCCCCGCTGCAGCTCGGCCCCATCCCCAGCTGCTGCAGCTCAGCCCCAGCCCCGGCTGCTGCAGCGGCAGCAGATGCGGCCAGGGCTGTGCTGGGGAGCCCCGAGTGCCCTGGCGGTGCTGCCGCCCTGTGCCAGCCCAGCCCTGGGGTGTCCCCAGGCAGGAAGGGCCCGGGCTCAGCCCTGCCAGGGTAGGAGGATGTGTGGCCGGGCCGGCAGTGCCACTGAGGGGGAAGCTGTGACACTGCTGGGGCCCTGACAGGATCTGTGTTCCCAGGGATCGCCGGGAGGTACCTGAGGGGACAGGAGGTTGAGCTGCAGATGGTCACTGATGGTGAGTGAGGGCAGTGGGGACTGGTGGAGGAGCACAGACTCTGGGCAGGGAGCTGCAATCCTGCCCTGGCTGCGGAGGGCTCTGCTCTCTGCATGGATGAGGAAGGGCTTGGGCAGAGCAGAGAGGGATTTCAGGGCCATGAGGGGCGTTGATGGGCAGCACCTCCTAGCTGATCGTGTTGGGCCCTGCTCCTCCTGGCCATAGCAAGAGCTAGGTGGGGTGGCCCTGGCTGCAGAGGTTTCTCAGGTGAGCCAGAGATGCAGGCTCTGACCTTGGCTCTTTTCCTTCCTGTTCCAGCCCTTGAAGATATGAAGAACGACGTCAGCCCTGCTGTCTCCTGCCTGGTAGTTCAGACCTGCTGTGTCATCAAAGCTGCCCATAGAGCTCCATTGTCCAGACTCCAGCAGCTCCGAGACTGGCTCTGCAGGGCCTGCAAGACCCAGCCTGCTCTGTGGGGCAGTTTCTGGCTGTGCTGCCAGAGCTCTGTGGAGTGCTGATGTGGGAAGCTGCGTCTGCTGGGGCCACATGAGCCTGTCAGGAAGGCCCCAGCTCTGCGAGAACTTTCCTTTACCGCAGCAGGGGAATATAAAATTGTTATTGCAATACACAGAGCCTCAGGAGGGCAGGAGTGGGAACAGGGGGAGGTCTGGAGAAGCGTGGTTGCCGGAGGCATGGCTTGGAGTCTGTTTTTTGGGGGTTTGGCATGGACAGGACAGAGCGGAGAGCCCGGTTTTGGCTGCCTGCTTTTTCTTTTCCTGAGAAGAAGGGTTTTTTTCCCCCCACGGGACATCTCGTAGAGAACGACTGAGAGAGAGGGAGGGACCGATCCATCTCAGAGCAAGGTATTCTGCCTTCAGACTGCCTGTGTGAAAAAGTCCTGTTTTGTTTTGTTATTTTTTTTTCAGTGCTGGCTGTGAGCACATGTGGCTGCGAGCACCTGTTGAACTGCCGGGACAGTCCTGCCTTCCCTCCCCCTCCCCAGGTTTCCATGGGTTTCTCCACCCCACCTGGGGAACTGGTGTTGGAACCGAAGCTCAGCAGTCAGCAGATAAGGGACTGATTGGTTTAAGCAGCTGCCCATGGGCAGCAGGAGCCAAGAAGTATTGCCTGCTTTGAGGACCATACCCTTCATCATATGGTTAATATTTAGCTATGTTTATTCATCCCGTCTCCTTCAGAAAGTTATGGAAAGACTTTGTGGTTTTGTTGTCAGACGTGTAGAAGCCCCTTTTTTTCTGCCCCCAGGTGGTTTCTCCCTGCAGAAGAATAGTAACCAGTCTGTGTAACTGTAACCGACAGTTGTGTAATCCTGTAGTTAGCATGATCCGACCCCTAATGAACATAACCCATCCTCCTCACTAACCTGCCCCACCCTCTGGGTCCCTATATTGCAAATCGAGTGTTCAATAAGGCATTTCTTCGCCAACCCGGGATGGATTAGTTTTTGGACCTTTGCAAATTGGGACTTTGTTTTGTTTCTTCTGAAAGTTTTTGATTGCACCATTTGTTGTTTATTCAGCTTTTGTTATTAAAAACTTCTTTTCTTTTTCCACCCTTCCACCTGAAGTTTCTTAATTTGGAAGTTGTAATCTTGTTAAACTAAGACAGCTTGCCCACATGTTTCTTCTGTGTGTCCCAGCCCCGTGTTTGGGGCCACCAGCCCGGACTTCTCCCAAGGAGCCCGTGCCAGCTTCTGTGGAGGCCCCGTGCCCTTGGCACTGTGGCTGCGTTGGCAGCCGAGGGGGCTCCTTCTGCTGCCGTGGGCAGGCACAGCAGGGGAGGCTTTGCTTAGTTTTTGAGCTGTGTCTAAAGTTTCTGTCCAGCTGCCTTAGATACTTTGGAGAAGGGACTCCTTCCGACCCAGGGCAGGTTGGCTGGGCTGGGGGAGGTCCCAGGGCAGGTGGCAGGGTGTCACAGGGCCCTTTGTGACACGGTGGGCATCGCTGATGGGATGGAACAGGGCCCTTTGTGACACGGGATGATATAAATACTGGTGTTGATGTGGCAACGCCTCAGTGCTCCTCGGAGCATGCGACGGGACAGACGGGACAGAGCGGTGCTGTGCGGAGCCCCCGCACAGACAACTCGTTCCTTGTTGACCTGGAGCGTTTTGGCGGTTTTTCTGTGGTGCAAGTGTCCTCGAGGCCAGACCGCGGGACTTGGTGACACGGAGCTTTTGTGAGGTGTCTCCAATCCCAGCGGCAGCTGCCCTTGAGGCTGCGCTGCAGGACTTAATAATCCATACTTTTTCCTAGGCTTTTCTCGCTTTCAGCTGCCCTCGAGGCAGTGCTGCAGGACGTGACAACCCAACGCATTTTCTAGGCTTTTCTCCTTTTTAGTTGCCCTCGAGGCCAGACTGTAGGATTGGTGACCCAGAAATTTTCTGGGTGTCCAATCCCTGCGGCACGTGGCCTCAAGGGCAGCCTGCAGGACGTGGTGACCCGGAGATCTTCCGAGGTGTCTTTCTCTTGCCAGTGCCCTCAAGGCCAGACTGTGGGATGGCAGGAAGACGCCTGAGCCTGCTCAGACCCTTTCAGAAGAAGAAGGAAGGCCCTGGAGCTTCCCCATCCCAGTACCCTGCGGAGATGGAGCAGTCCCTGCCCCTGCAGGAGGGTGAGTGGCAGAGCTGGGCCACAGGGCTGGTGGCTGCAGCCAGATGGGCATCATCCCATCCCATCCCCTGTGGACATGCCCAGGGAATAGGAGGGGAGAAGAGGGCCTGTGGCTGATCCCCCAGCAGCTCCTGCCTGTGGAGCGCAGGGCTGGGCTGTGTTCTCCGGGCTGTCCCGCAGCCCCTCAGCTCTGACCACGCTCGCTCTTTGCCAGATCCAGGCCGGCACAGGACACAGGAACAAGACCGTGCCCGTGGCCGCTTCCGCAGGGCAGCACAGGTACCTGCAGTGTGTCACAGGGCCCTTTGTGACACACTGGGTGTCACCAATGGGATAGACTGGGCCAGGGTGTCAGAGGGCTCTTTGTAACATGTGATGCCATCGCCTCCTGGGCTGGGCCTGCTGTCCCTGCTCAGCCTGGCACTGCTGACGGAACTCTCCATGGCACATCCCTCTCTTCCCTGCTCTCTGTTCTCCTGCAGGCCTTTCTGAAATTCCTGGGCATTCGACGTAAAAGGACCACAACCAGACTTACTAGGGCCATGGCACAGCTTGACCTCAGGCTGACTT